GAGGTAATGACATTCCCGGTAATATACCCCAAAAAATCTACTATTGGTAATAAAACATTACCGGGAATGAGATTCCCGACCAACCAAACATGATGGGAATCCCATATTCCTTGAACCAAACACCCCCTAAGCTGATATGCATGCAATGATGCAACGTTGCACCCACCTAAGAAAGAATGTTTGTTTAATCTCAAGTTGTCGGTACAACGCATACAACATTTGGAACCAATGTGTACTTTCTTAAAAGTGCATATCCCCAAATTAACGTTGTTGCTAAATTAATGGATCAAAACATTATCGGTTGGTCTGAATGGTTAAATTCATTTCTTCGTCGAAAAAGAAGGAGAAATGGTAATGTTAGAACTGTTTTAAACATGTGAGGAATCAATAGCAACGTCAACCCAACGTCATTACCACTAAATCAAATAGCCAAAACTCCCCATTATCTTAATTTTGTGTGGTGATCCTTATCTTCAAACCGCCTGCCTCGCCATTTTTATTAAGGCAAAACAAACACCACTCATCAGCTTACCTCACCCACATAAATTCCTTCAAGCAATTAGTCGATGCTCATTTCTTTGAAAACCTGATGCTTTAAAAAATTATAAATTTTATTATTTAATTTACTTTTCACTCTTATTTTAATTATTGAAATTTAGAAATTTTGAAATCATATATAGTATCGATAAAAAAATAATAAAAAAAGGTGATTTTAAAGAGCGAAAATAAGCAACAATCGGAACAACCATGGCACAAAATTCAAATTATTGACGTGATGAGGAAATGGAATTTTGATCAAATTATTGAGGTGATAAGGAAATGGGATTTTGATCAAATTATTGGCTAACTTTATGTTAATTAAGTTAGTTGAGAAGGCTAACTTAAGCAAAAAGTATTGGCTCTTTTTTCTGACTAAATGTAAGAGGTGGGCCCATATTGGACCACTTTATTTATATATATATATAAATAAAAAGAACATGTAAGAGAACATGAAAGCCATTGGCTCTTTTGTTTTGATTTAAAATTGAAAAATATAAATAAGGGTAAACTACACGAGTGACCACCGAACTATGATCATCAACCATTTTGACCACCAATGTTTAAAAGCGATCAAACAGACCAACAACTATTTAAAGCGATCGAACAAACTGCTGGCCTTTAATTTTTAACAGAGCTGATGACATGGGCGTTAATAAAATTAGCATAATCATATATTTGGTCTTTGATATTTACACATTGTATCAATTTAGTCACTATTTTAATTCAATTAATTAAATTTAGTCATTCAACCCGAATATGTCACATGTCACTATATAATTGGAGGGTAAATTTAATTAATTTTAATATGTTAATTAAATAAATTTTCTTACCAATTTAATGGTGACACGTGTTACCACCCGTGTAAAGGGAAAACATATTGGAAAAGAAATGTATTTGGGTGGATTCAAACCAAGAACCTTGGGAGTCCCTAGGAAGTCTTTTACCACTTAGCCGAAGCCATTTATTTGGTACACAATCTTTTATATTGTGTTTGATATTATTATTTTTTGGATAAATCAAATTTTATTATCCAGAAGAGCAGAGTTCTGCTACAAAAACAATCAACCAATCAGAACAAAACTAACAACAACGTATTATAAAAGACAATGATTGGTTTAAGTAATACCCCAATTAATACAAAGGTTAGAGTTTATTCTATCAGCTCTATTAATATTTTTACCCTTAAGTTGAATTCGCACAACTTCAGTAATAACCTTGAGCAATTCATCAGGTGATCTATGACGACCTTGGAAGATTCTACAATTTCTTTCCTCTCACAATGTGTAGATATAGGCAGTCCAAGCAATCTTCAGGATTGTGGTGAGCAATGATTTCCCTTTCCATGATGAAGAAGCAAGAGTAACCATTTCTTCTCATGAAGATGAAACATTCTTCAAGCCATTAAGCGAAAGGACAGAGTTCCAAAGGCGAACAACAAGAGCGCATTGACAGAAAGATGATTTCTTGTCTCCTGATCGTTACTGCAGTTAACACAGGTTCCTTTAGTGAAAATTCCCATTTTGAGAAGCCGATCTCTTGTTGGTAATCTGTTTAACAAAGACATCCAAGCAATCAAACTGAATTTAGGAATGTGCATGGAAAATCAGATCAGATTCTTCCAGGGAACTTTCTCCCTTTTGATTCGAATAGATTCCCAAATGTCATTAAGCCTAAGATAACCATAAGAAGATAAGATTGTGAGAGCAATGGAGCGCAATTTTAAAATTATAGTAACAGTCCAACTCACATTATTTCACACAAACATATATATATATATATAATTATTAAAATTCTAATAAATTTTTATTTTACATGAGTTTAATATTTTTATTTTTAAATTAAATTATTTTTATTTTGTGATTTGGATTCTCTAAATAATTTTAATATAATTTATATATTATTATTTAAAAGTAATTGTAAAAAATAATTTAAATAAAAATATTAAACTTATTTTTATTTTTTGATTTAGATTCTCTATATAATTTTAATAAAATTTATTTTTAATATAATTCATATATTATTATTTAAAAATAATTGTAAAAACTATTAAACTCGTTTTTATTTTTAAATCTTACAGTGACTATAATTTGATATATATGTGAAATATAATTTATTTATTATATTTTTTTAATAATTATATTTATGTTTATATGAAATAATTTCAAATACAATATAAAAAAGATTGTACACTTTAGAACCAAACACATGGATTTGGCTCAGTGCCAAAAGCTTGCCTAGGGACTCTCAAGGTCCCCGGTCGAATCCACCCAAATGTACTTCCATTCCAATATATTTTCCCTTTGCACAAGTGGTGATACGTGTCATCATCGGATTGTTGAAAATATTATTTAATTAACATATTAAAATTAATTAAATTTACCCTCTAATTATATAGTGGCATGTGAAATCTTGGGATTTGAGGACTAAATTTAATTAATTGAATTGAAATAGTAACTAAATTGATACAATGTATAAATATCAAGAACCAAATATATAAGTATATCAATTTTATTAACGGTCACGTCATCAGCTATGTTAAAAATTAATGACCAGTGATATGTTTGATCGTTTTTAAATGTTGGTGGTCAAAATGATTGATAACCACAGTTCAGTGATCACCCGTGTAGTTTACCCTAAAAATAATATTTTTTTGAAAAAAAGTTAATCAGTAAGGTAATTGAGGGATCTAGGGAAGCATCTAAATCAGCATCTTTATATTACCATGAGATTTCTCTACGTCATGTGCCTTTTTTTTTATCGATGTGGTAATGTGGTTGTCTTTGATTGAAGCGTATTTTTTGAAATGGGGATGTGTCGTGTTCCACTGCCGTCTCCGATTATTGTTAGGGTAAATTACGTAATCAGTCATTGAACTATAAAATGTATTATATGCTGATCATTAAATAAAAAAGTTTATCAGTTAAATCATTAAATTTTAATTCTTGATGTCACTCTAATTAGTGTAATACTAATTTTAACCCTCCATATCTATATTTGATCTCCGAACGTCTTAATTGTCTCACAATTATAGAGTCAGTTGAGAGGTTAAATCATCTGATAGATCTAGGAAATATTTGATATCTTAAAGAGAATTGTCTTCAAATAGATTCTAATATTAACACAATTCGTCAGCCATACAAAAAAAGAGGTGAAATGGTTGTCCGCCATTTTTTTAAATTTGGAAAAATTAAAGATGTATGAAAATGCTCACATGGCTTGTGTAATCACATCTGGAACATGTTTGGGACAAGACAAGGGCCGCTGAGGGAGGATTAATATATAACTTAAGTCTTAACGTTAACCTTATTGCTCAATTAGGCTCTAATTATTGGGTCATCAAACATTGACTAACCTACCCCAAATTCTTTTGAACTGCGTTGCACTTCAATTATTAGTACGCATTTTAGGTACGTAATCAGTACACATTATAGTATTTACCGACTAATATATTTCATCACTTATAAAAATAATATCTAAATTAAAAATTTGAAAGAAAAATATATTTCTATAAAAGCTTTTGTTAATTTAGTAATCAAATAAATATTAAAAAAAGACAAGAGGTGTGATGGGAAAACCGATTGTGTCCCAATTTCAGTGCAAACATTTCATATTGCATCCTTTGCCTATCTGTCGAGTTTCTCCGACCATAAGTGTGAATAGGGAAGTATCTAGGCGGGGTAAGTAAATGTAGTTTCCCTAAAAATTTAAAATATTTATATTTTTTATTGAAAATTTATTTTCACCCTCCTATAAATTTATAAATTTAAATTCATTCTTAAAATTTTATAAATCAAATTCATCCCTAACATAAAATTTTATGTTGTCCATGATTATAAAAAGAATGCGGATCATTGAATAACGGAGAGGAAGGTAATTTAGTCAAAGTTAAGATGGACGTACGTCATTTGGCATGTTGTTTTATGATATTTAAAAGTAATTCTTGAGATAAATTCATATATATATTAAACTTCTTACTGTAAGAAAATTACCGGTAAATAGCATAAAAGAAAGAAACACTATTCAAGACGTAACGTAATCTACACAATTCCATTCCTTTTATACATGAGTATTATATATTGTGACGTTAAAAGCTTTGCTTGGTCCGCCCGTCGGCTAATTTTTTTTTATTCACTTTTACCTTAATTATTTATATGAAGTCATGAGACAGAACAGATGTGATCATGACCGGATCAACCTATATAGTACAATTTCTGATAAAACTTCAAAATTTAAAACAATTTCTACAATTTGTTTTAAACAATACATTATTAATTATTAATTGATTTTGATTATCAACCATAAATATTGAAAATTCAAATTCAAATTTTAAATATATTAAGAAGGATAATTACGAAAAATTTACACAAGAAAAGCTAGACTATCTACAAAATTACAAACTACAGGCACAAAAATAAACACTAATTTGATTGTACAATAATAAAAATCAAAATCTGTGTTAATTTTACTTTTCCTTGTTCTCCTGCCCTAATATTTTTCAGTAGGAGTAAGCTAATCGTTGAACAACACGATCCCTGAGAATTCCATTGTACAGAGCAAGTCTGTTAGCAGGGATTCCTAAATCTCTACCTCCACCAAATTTCTTGAGCTTTGGCGTTGAATTCAAAGCCGTCGTTGCTGAATTGTTGGTCCCGACACGATTCTTCAGCTGCTTCCTGAACTCCGCTCCATCACTCCTTGGATCCATCACATCCTCTGCAAACCGCACTTTCTTCTTATTCTTCTTCTTCCCTTCTTTAAAAACAAACCCAAGAAAGAAAAAAAGGAAACATTTTTAATCATGTAAAGAAACAGTATGTTCTCATGCAATCGTTTGTTATAGATATGTACCAGAAGATATGCAGGAACGGAGGACTTGTTGAGAAGGGTGTGAGATTTGATCTAAAGATTTCTGTAGGCGAAAAGCAAGGAGAATTACAGTGCCGGAGACTGCCATAGCTGTTGCTAATACCATTCCTTGTGAGCTCAACATCGACGCCATATTTTAACCAACAATCTCAAAATGGGTGGAAAAGAGTTGATGGGAGAAGAGAGTTGGTGTTTACTGAGTATAAATACAAAGATGGTCTATAACATAAACTAAGTCTGAATGCTTGAATAAAATATTGGAATCAAATGGCCAATTATTTGTATCTCTAGAAAGGAAAAGAAGCTCTGATTGGTGGGTTGAAAGGAAAGCAAAGGGATGACTAGCGTTGTTTGCTTTTACAGACAAGGCTCTAGGATTGGGATCTCTTAACTGCTGCTCGTGCACTACACGGCAATGCCCGACTAGATAACCAAACCCCTCGACTAATTCTTTGTAGCGCGTCACCTGGACGCTTCACTTTTAGGTGTTTTTTTATTATATGTATTTCTTTAGTATATTACAAATTGGGATTTGGGAATTTATGTCTAAATGTTAGGGAATAAAGTCTGGATCTCTGGGTTGTTGGTAATAATTAAAAAAAAAATTATATATATTTCGTTTTTGAGTTGTCTGTAATGGCTAGATTCTTTGGATAAGATGTCAATTAAGGGCGCTTTCAATGCTTGTTTATCTGTAAGATCAGTTAGAGGTGGCGGATGCATGCATGAAAGATTAGGTGTTTGCATTTTCGTTTGCTTTCTCAAAATTCCATTTATAAAAGAAAAGTCGAATCGGTTTCTGTGTTGGGCAAAAATTCAAACATTTTTCAAGAGAGTCAGAATCTCAAGGAAAGAATGAGGCTAATTAAGGAAGTAACCAAAAACGGGGGGCAAAAACAAGAAGATGAAAAAAGAGACTTTGTATGAAACGGACAATGATCTGCAATGTACAATGACAGACAAACATGCTTTTGTCTGTAAAACTCTTTCAAACTCCACACACATGGGGCTCCCTTAATTTTCACTAGGAGAGTGAATTTCACGCCCTTACGAGAGTCAAGGGAGCGTATTGAGAGTTTCATCTGCTAAATAATCTATTGGTTAATTTACCTTTGAAGATTCCTTTGCATCGTGTCATGCATGATGTGTCAGAGTCCGCCATGCCAAAGGCTTCTGTTTGGGGCTTCATAAGGGTATTTATATTAAAACCTCAAGTGTGCGTTTGGTTCACGGAATGTAAGATTATTAGTGGGAATGTAAGATTACCAGTGGGAATATAAGATTATCAGAGAATAGGATTACTGTGAATGTTGTATTTTGTGTTTGGTTTGTTTAGCAGGAATGTAAGATTACCGTGTTTGATTAAAGGAATAAAAGATTATTAGAATATATATTTGACCAAATTGTTCTTATTATATATTTGTATAATATTACAAATTGAAAATATTTATATTTTCTTTAAAAAAATTAAATTCATAATATTTATATAAATATTTTTTCAAAATTAAAAATATAAAAAATGTTTAATGAAAGGGTAAATATTTTAATCTATAAACTTCATATAAAATTTTAATTATAGATTTTTTTTTAAATCTAAAATAATTTAAGGATAAATTTGTAATTTAACATTCGTAGAATTTTTATTATTCAATGACAGAAGAATGATATTTTTGAAAAAAAAAATTTAAGGGCATTTTAGTCCAAAACGCCGGTAATGTTACAATACCTAAGGGAATGGAGGTAATGACATTCCCGTAATATACCTAAAAAAATCTACTATTGGTAATAAAACATTACCGGGAATGAGATTCCCGGCCAACCAAACATAGGAATGTGGGATTCCCATCCCATGGGAATCCCACAACCCTTGAACCAAACACCCCCCAAATACATAATTATGTAAAGGAATAAGACCCTCTATGAATTATATAAAAGAATAACCCTCGAATCTTCCGCATATGACGACTTCGTGACCTGTAAACACCGTGTTAAATATTTGTACATTCTAACACACAAGATACGTCGATGTGAACATACTTTTCAAGTAAGCCAATAAAAGAATTGAATAAAATGACATCGAGTATTGCAAAGCACGATATTTATGAGAGGCCTCACGGCCTGCAACGCGCAAGGATCTTTCAAATTAAATTAATAATAAATAAATAAATATAATAATAATAATAATAATAATAATATAAATATAAATATAATAAATAATTAAAATAAATAATAAATAAATATATAATTAAAATAGACATTTTATAAATAATAATTATAATATATTTTGTAAATTTTGAAATAATGAAAATTATATGTATATATTAAATATAATAATAATTAATAATATTATAATTATAAAATATTTTGAAATTTATAAGATAAAAGTTTGTATTAATTTTTGAAAACATCTATCTTGCGCCTTGCAAACCGCGAGGTACTGTCAACGGAAAAAAATTCGTGTATTTTCAATGTAAATCGCGTCGTGTAGGACATGAGATACTTAAATCCACGATTCATCGGATGCAAAAATGCTATAAATATGACCCTTCATTCCTAATCATCATCACACCCATCGCTTTCTTATCATCTAATTTGTCATAATCTTTTTTCAATATATTCAAAGATTTCATATTATGGTAGTAGATTTATTAAGACATGATCGAAGTCACGTATTCGATTATTGGAGGCGAAATGATGAGGTCAATTAATTAATATTATTTTGTATTTTTAGTATTTATTGTTTGTTTGTTTAAATTATTTGTTTTGGTATTTAAATAATTTTTTAATATTTATTTTTGTAGGGATATGAATGTGAATTATAGTGTCATATAAATCGTGTCACAATACCAATGCGAATATTATTGACTATTTACATTTAGCGAGTTTCAGCTATATCAGTAGTATAACTGGTGACGATGTGAAGTTGCATCCTCCACTTATACATGCGTTGATGGAAAGATATAGACCAGAGACGCACGCGTTTCATTTACCGTGTGGGAAGGCAACTATTACCCTACAAGATATTGCATTTTAACTGGGATTGCCTATTGATGGAGTAGCTATTACTGGTGTTGTCGGCGCCCCTATAAATGTATGTGAGGCATTGCTCGGAATTGTTTCGCCTGATAATACACGAGATGGTGGAAAAATAAAATTAAATTTTTGGATGATAATTTTACACACCTAACCCACGATATGGAGCATGTAGTGAATGAAGTAAATATAAATGTTTTTATTTATGAATATTTATTAATATTGTAATTTATTTATTTATTATTTTAGAAATTAAGTAATTATATTATTTTATTAAATTTTGCAGTGATTTGCTCGTGCGCGTATACTACGAGTTATGGGGGGATTTTAATGCTAGACAAATCCCAAAATAAAGTGCATATAATGTGGTTTAATCATTTGCAAAATTTGAGTGATTAAGGAACGAGAGCTTTGTAAATCTGTAATTCCGATGAAAAATGTCAAAGCGACATATTATCGATTGACAACCTTTTTTGCAACCTTGAGATGACAAGCAGTTGACTGGATGATAGGTGGCCATCAAATCCACCAGATCTCTTCATAAAATTACAAACATTCTAACAACATTCCAACGCGATGAGTGCCATAGGCTTCTCTCGCGAAATGTCATTATTCCTTGTATCAGAATTTGAGAGCCATTGGAAGGCATACAACACAACACATACGTGGTTAATTTAAGATAAAAATATGCAAGTGCGGATTCTTCCAAACTTTCAAATACCAGTGCGCGCACACCATTTATACTGTTTATTTTGTTCGAATACCCTACATGAGATTCGTCGATCGGGTTTACTTACTTGAAACTATATTCAAGGTTTATGAATACGAGTTCCCTCTCATTGGAAATAAATGAGATATAGATAAAGCTGATGATGAACCTACAATACGACCAGGTTAAGGTACTGCGACGAAAAAATCCGGTCGTCTATGGTCAACCCAATTTTTTGTGATGAGGATTTGGTCGAACATCAATAAAAAATCGAAGAATCGAAATTATGCTTTATATTGTAGGAATCCCGGACATACGAAAAATAAATGTCCCAATCGCTCATGCCCACATATCAATTAAATGGGCTTTTTGTATTATTTCTTTTTTTAATTAACAACAAATGTTACTTAGTTTTTAATATCTTTCGATTTCTTTATGCACCAAATCATGCATTCCAACATTTTCCAACATGATTTTTACTCCTATTAAAATATATAGTATGTGGCCAAATTATTCTCAACATAAATATAAGTTGTAATACTATACCTCTAAGCATATAAATTATGAAATCACTCTTATTTACAAGCCATAAATAACACTCCAATATGTCTATCAAACCAATTTTTTGTTCTTCCTTCACAAAATCATTATTTCTAACCATTTTCAAAGTCATTTGTTTTTCGCTTAAAATGTCTCATATGATGATATTACAGTCACCTTAAAGATAAATTGCAACACTACACGTTTGTAATTAAAATTAAAAAAATTCAAAATATATTAGAATTATAATATTATTAATTATTTCATATTTAATATATTATACATGTAATTTTTCATTGTTTCAAAATTTACAAAATATATTATAATTATTATTTAAAAATATTAATTTTAATTACTATATTATTTATTATTATATTTTAATTAGTTATTATATTAATAATTAATATTATTATATCTATTTATTATATTTATTTGTTATTAATTTCAATTTGAAATATCCTCGTGGCTTGCATCTCATAAATCTTGCGATATTTTGGTTATCATGCTATCTCGTGCTTCGTCATGCGCGAGGTCATTTTATCCAATTTTTTTATTGGTTTACCTGGAAAGTTTACCTACATCAGACGTATCTCGCGTGTTGGAAGGTACAAAGATTTAACACGTTATTTGATGTCATCTTATGTGAATGATTTGAGGTTGTTATTCTAAATAATTCTTAGAAGATCCTATTTATTTAAATAATTATTTATTTAATGTTTTTAATATAAAATTGCCACATGCTTGTACTTCAACCATTAATGTCCTCTGGTAGTGATCAAACTCATTAATCATGAGATTTCACATATTAAGAGGGAAACAGGAAACTGGTAAACGACATTAATTTTCAGAAGTGGGTGCCATTTAATTTTGATTTATGCAATATATTTTGTTGTATTGGCGACACTAACAGAATTCGGATTGGAGAAATCCTTTTCCAGGTTCCTATTCGGCTTGGACAAAGTCTTTGATTTACATCAAATCAAATCATTGACTCATTCCACACTCATAAAATCAACAGGTAAAAAACTTAATCCTGTTAAATCCCAGAAATTAAA